ATCTGTGTATTTGTTGACCATGTTTAAATTTAATATATATATTCATTCACTGGTGGTTCAGTTATGATGTCAGTACGTTGAGGTCAGTTTGAGGGCAATTTTAAAATGAAATGTATGAAATTTAGCTTATGGCACGCAAATAAATTTCATGAAAAGTAAATCTGAGGCAAGCTGTTTTGCAGGACAAAGAACGAAATATGGGAGAATTATTGAAAATAGTTGAAGCTAGTCATGAATTTTGCGATGAGCTACATCAGTTGAAAGAGAAATTCATGCCAGACTTGCGAGCGAAGCTTAGTGGACAGAAATTGCCGGTTTCCGAATCTAGTAACTTGGGTCAGCTGCCTACCGTGACGCCGCAACAAACAAAAAAAACGCATAAAGCGGTTATCCGACTTAAATGAAAGCTATACAGCCGAATCTATCCCTGAAAAAACTTCGCCGTCTCGCATTTCGGCACGAACTAGTAACTCTAAACTTCTGGCCACGGTTGTAGCCATGGAAGCGGCAATTGACGATGCCATTATGCGAACTCCACAAATGAATCCCACGTCAGTCCCAAGTAGCGCCAAAGTTCCGAATACGGAGCCAACTGAGGTTCAATTAATGCCTCCACCGCCGGCGCCTCTTGCGCCTGCACCGAATGATATATTGCAATCCAGTTGCATTGAAACTTAATTTGTAAGGCCACAACGTGCTGCCAAATTGAAATCAGAGAAGGACTTAAAGGAACCGAGACTTAACAATACATTACGTCGACCGAGCAGTTGCGATACCTGTAGGGTGAAGTTAGAGCATGAACAACATCCTCCACAAATGCATCAAGTTGATGAAGCATCAGCAACTAACAGGGATAGTACCAAGTCTACTGCGAGCGTCAGATCTGAAGATGCGGTGGTGGCCATACCAAGTAAAGCTCCATCCGTTTGTTTTTTACCTTTGCTAACTTTTTATTTGAGCCCTAATTGTTTTGTGTTTTTATAAAGGGTTGCTGCAATAAGGAGAACACGCGGATGAAAGGTCTAAGCATGACATCTAAAATTCTGAAGCGTCTATTAGAGAAAGCAGACCACGATTTCGTCTATCAAAAACGCACCGGAAGCAAATAATCGTGAGTTTAAACCTTATAATTACTATTATTTTAACTACTTCATTTCGGGGTGGGGTTGTTCAAAGTCTGTACTCCGTTTATGTAATATCCCCAAAATAAAGCGGATAGAAAACCAGCAAGCTTGAATTTTGATGAATTTGAGAAAAAAAACATATCGTGCATTTGTTAAACTTGCTAGTTTTCTACTGTTTGCTTCTTATTCAGAGGCGGAGTAGTTCGCTACCCTGCGATTTATTACTATTATGATTATAGATCTGACGATGGTCGTTTGTTTTTAACCAGATCAACTCGGGAGGGGCCCGAGTAAGAACCATCACCTCCAAATATTAAAAATAATTCCCTTGTAACCTTTTTAACTATTAACACATGGAATCACTCCTATTACATTGAAGTGGAATTTCGTTGTAACAGGAAGTGGAATACGATATGGGTGAAAAAAGGGCGATTTATGACGTAGTTGTTGGCTCCGAGTTTCCCTCGCTGTATGGTGGGAGGAGAACCAACTTCACTAGTGGTCTGGTAACTTGACCTTTCTCCGTCAGTATGTCGACTACGCGCACCCTACCATCGGTACCCGGGTGTAAGTTGACAACTCGCCCCAATCTTCATTCAGTTGGAGGCAGATTGTCTTCCCTTATAACAACGAGATCACCTATTTTCATATTCTCCTTGGGTTGCTTCCACTTAATTCGCTTTTTTAGTTCGGCTAAGTACTCCACTTTCCATCGCCTGCAAAACGTCTGAAGCAGTGCTTTTAGTTTTTGCCATCGATTGCCGATGGAGGCAGGGTTCTCATTCACATCAGGTTCTGGCGGAGCCATAAGATGTCCACCGGTCAGAAAATGGCCTGGAGTAAGCGGCTCCAGATCATTTGGCTCATTTGAAGAGGGGCTCAGTGGTCGCGAATTGAGGCATGCCTCAATCCGGCATAAAAGCGTACTGAGCTCTTCAAAGGTGTATTTGTGAGCGGACGCCACCTTTTTAAAGTGGCTTTTAAAGCTCTTTACACCTGCCTCCCAGAGTCCTCCCATGTGAGGAGCGGCAGCAGGTATAAAATGCCACTCAAGTGTTTGATGGTTATATTTGGAAATCGTTTTGTCTCGCGCGTCAGAAAAAAAAAGCTTTGAATTCAGATCGTAAAGATTGCGAAGCTCCGACAAAATTTTTACCATTGTCGGAATAGATATTCTTCGGGCATCCTCTTCTAGCCACGAACCGAGCAAATGCTGCTAGAAAGGATGGGGTACTAAGGTCACTGGTGGCTTCTAAGTGAATCGCTTTAGTGGTGAAACAAACAAATAGGCAAACATAGCCTTTGGAAATTCGACAACCTCTACCACGGTAACTTTTAATTTCAAAGGGTCCCGTGAAGTCTACTCCCGTATTCGTGAACGCGCGCGTAAATGTTGTGCGTTCCTGAGGAAGAGTTCCCATAATTTGCGTCTGAGATCGTTTCTTGTAGATGGTACAAATTTTACAATTGTGGATGGTAGACCTAATCATGTTTTTTACCCTGGGAATCCAGTACTGGGTACGGATAAGGCGTAACATGAGCTGATTTTCTCCGTGTAAGGAGACTTGGTGAATCATCAGGACGATAAGACGGGACAATCTGCAGTTATACGGAATAATGATTGGATGGCGCTCATTATAAGCTAAGTCCTGGGATGCTCCGAGGCGACCTCCAGCCCTGATGATGTCGTGCTTGTCGACGAACGGATTAAGCGGAAGGATTTCGCTCTTTGCATCGATGGGTTTTCTAGTTTTCAAATTCCTGTATTCTTCACCGTAGTGTTGCTTCTGGTTGATTTTTATCAAGAGATGTGTCGTCGTCTTAATTTCTTCTGATGAAATTAAACAAGAAGTTTCCTGAAATGAAGCTTTTGTTTTCGGGTGAGTTCTTCGGTAGAATCTCATGACGTATGATAACACTCTCAAAGCTCTCGGTAGATCTGAAAATCGGTCAAGAATATCGATATTGTTTTCTTTTGTTGATGCATAAGCGTGCGCTCTTTTTTCTTCAACTTCTGTGTGATAGGTAATTTCTTGAGCGGGCCACTTAGAGTTGTCTTCTTGCAACCAAGAAGGTCCCTGCCACCACAAAAAATTGGTCACCAACTCTGACGCAGGCAATCCTCTGCTAGCCAAGTCGGCTGGATTAGAAGCCGAGTCTACATGTAACCAGTCCTTGTTACCGACCTTTTCTACTATTTTCGTAATTCGATGTGCGACGAAAGTTGACCAAGAACAAGGCGGCTTTCGTATCCATGCGAGTACGATGGTCGAATCTGTCCAAAGATATGTTTTAACTTGCCCTAGGTTGAGGTTGTTGATTACGGATTCTATGATTTCCGCGAGCAGTACGGCTCCGCAAAGCTCTAGTCGTGGTAGCGATATTGTTTTGACAGGAGCTACTTTGGTTTTTGCCAAAAGAAGATTGACCAAAACTTTGTCATCTCTTTTGACGCGCATGTATGCAGTAGCCGCATATGCTTTTTCCGATGCGTCGCAGAAACCATGTATCTCGATGTCATCTCCTGGTGCGAAGTGTACCCATCGAGGTATTCTAATATTGTCTATTTCATGGTAATGTTTGGTAAAATTCTGCCATCGTTCCATAGTAGTAGAAGACACAGTCTCATCCCAGTCTGTGCCTTCTAGCCAAATACTTTGCATAATTATTTTGGCCACGACGACTATTGGAGCAAGCCATCCTAGCGGATCAAATAGCTTGGCGATAGCTGATAGTATCGCCCTTTTTGTAAGTGTCTCGCGATCCTCCAATGGTCTTGCCATGAAATAGAATAGATCGGTATGGGCATTCCATCTTATGCCAAGAGCCTTAACCGTGCTGGTGTCTTCGAATGCCAAAAAGTCTTCACTGAGTAAATCCGTTTTTGGGATGTCCTTTAGAATTTCCGCACAGTTTGAGGTCCATTTCCTTAGCGGAAAACCGGCTGACCGTAGTACTTCAGAGATTTCATCTCTTGCTTTTACGGTAGAATCGATGCTATGTCCTCCAGCTAGCACGTCATCCACATACATGCATTTCCGTAGTATGTTAGATGCTATTGGGGAAGAGCTTTCTACATCGTCAGCCAGTTGTAGAAGTGTCCTTATCGCGAGGTAAGGAGCACAATTAATCCCGAAAGTGACAGTCTTTAATTCGTATAGACTTACAGGTTCGTTCGGGTTTGTACGGAAAACTATCCGCTGATATTTGGTATGGTTGCTATCCACCCAAACTTGCCGATACATCTTCTCGATGTCACTATTAAAAACGTATCTGTATAACCTCCAGCGGAGTATAAGGATCGGAAGATCTGCTTGGAGAACTGGACCTGGGAGAAGTACATCGTTCAGACTTGTGCCATTAGCCGTTGGACTTGAGGCATTAAAGACGACTCGAACTTTGGTGGAGGTACTTTCTGCCTTTATAACAGCGTGGTGAGGTAGAAAGTAGTTATCGGAAGAGTCTGCTGAAATACTATCATTTATTCTGGACATATGTCCTAGTGATTCATATTCAGCTAGTACCCTATTATACTCTTTTTGTAGGACGGTATCCTTTGCAAGCCGTGTCTCATTCCGGAAGAACTGAGAGCATGCTTTTTTGAGAGAAGGGCCTAGGCAGATGTTTGCGGGAAATTCCTGCCTAAATGGTAGCGAGACTACGTATTTTCCGTCTTCTCGTCTACGAGTTGTCTTCCGATAAAGTTCATCACAGTATTGGTCGTCTTCGTTCAAGCTTTTGTTTTTTGGTATGTCTTCGAGTTCCCAGAATGCAGTAAGTTGTTTGTTCAAGGCAACTTCGCTGTGATACGAAACTATATTGTTGGTTGGATTGGGTGCATCTGTGCATCCGGTTAATATCCAACCGAACACTGTTTCTTGGGCGAGAAGTGTACTGAGTACATTTTTCTTCAAGCCGCATAAAATAATTTGGGGATAAATGTCTCCGCCAAGTACGAGGTCTACTTCTTCATTCACGTAGAACCGTTTATCAGCTAGAACAAGACCTGGAAATGCCTGCATAGTCATAGCGCTGATATGACAGGATGGTAGATTTCCGGTTAGTCTTGTTAGGACGAGCACTGTTGCATGCAGGCTGAACAGTGGATCAACAGGGGATCGAAGTTCTATGCTGCATGCCTCTTTGACCTGCGCAGAGGTTGCATTCGTAATGCCCGAGACTTGGGCATGCATCCTCTTAGCTGGCAGGTTGATTCTGCGTTTGAGTCGTTCTGTTATGAACGAACACTCAGAACCAGAGTCAATAAGTGCTCGAGCAGAAAAATCTGTGCCATTGAGACGTATATTTACGCGAGCTGTTCCTAAGAGCACACCTGAATTTGTGTTAGCATAACAAGACTTAACGTCTTTGCTTTTATTGTTACGTGTTTTATTATTAAAGCTGCGCTTTGCTTGAGCCTGTTGAGAGGAAGATGCGGTGTTATTGGCAGGTTCCGGCGGCGTTCGAGCCGCTGTTGCCTTTGGCACATTTGTCTGAATGTGCAGGAGCGAGTGATGTCGCGAGTGGCACGTGCTGCAATTATAGGGGCTTGTGCACCTCGTCACGGTATGTGCAGCACTCAGACAATTCAGGCAACTGTTGTTGCTCTTTAAGTAATTAAACCTCTCATCAGGCGTAAGCTTCAAAAATTTGGAACAGCGGCGTAGTTTGTGCTCATTCGTTTGGCACATTGCACAAGTGAACTTGGTCACGCTTGCTTGGAATGCACCAAGTCTTTTGGTATGGGCTTCTGAAGGGTTTTTGGTGTTTTGCGGCTTTGGCGCCTTAACCGCTTTTGTACCCTTTAAGCCCGTCAGGGTTTCCAGGGTTTGAAACCTGTTAGATAGGAACTTGTCCATATCTTCCCACTTCGGTAAATCGCCTGTGTGGTCTATGGTTTGCTCCCATAGAGCCAAAGTGCTGTCAGGCAGTTTAGTCGAGCAAAGATATATAACAATTGAGTCCCAATTTGAAATGTCAATTTGATGACTCTTGAGGGATGACAAACAATTTTTGATATCACGCTGCAATCTTTTAATAGAGCTACCACATTCACTCTCCACTGAATTTAAATTGAATAATATTTTTAGTTGTGTGTTCACGAGAATACGCTTATTTTCGTATCGCTCACACAAATTTTCCCATGCTGTTGCGAAGCCTTCATTAGTTATTAGGCACTTACTCACAATGTCTTTGGCTTCTCCTTTGGTTTTTTGGTTGAGGTAATATAGCTTCTCAACTGGAGTAAGCTCCTGATTCGAGATGTAAATGGCCGTGAACATATCTCGAAATTTTGGCCAAGACAGATAATCGCCTTTGAAAACACCAGTATCACACGGTGGAAGGTGAATATTGTGTTTTCGCATAGGCTTCTGTTCTACATCCCTTTCTTCTTTTGATAGTTTCTCAGCCTGCGCAGCCAAAGACGACATGCAGTTTACATAACTAGCAAACGCGCCTCTATTTATTTTTCTGTATGTCCTCTTATCTTCTTGTGAAAATTCGTCAGAGGTATTGAGGGCATCGTAGGCTAGCTTTGTTTTTTCCCACAGAGCTTTGAGTTCTTCTTGCTGAATAGCAAGGACATGCTTATTTTGCTCTGATATTGACGAAGCAAGGAAGTCGGACTCGAACTCTGTGACCTCTTCTGCTAAGCACATAAATGAATCCATTTTGAGGTTGAAGATGGGTTTACAACCAACAGAAAAAACAGGAGCTCGTTAAAAATTTAAAAATCTTTTCGAAGATTTGATAATGCTAAAGGCAAATATGTAGCAGATTATTCGAACCTGTTGAAATTTTTTAAAAAAACGAAATTGTTTGCCGCTAGAGTCAAAAATACCCTAAAAACACCAAAGATTGTAAAATCTATCCACAATGAAAAATATTCTTAACTTTTCCAATTCTTTATTATTATTATTATTTTTTTTTCAGCAAAGGTTTATGGATATATGTAACTTTGATACGTGTATGCAAATAAAACTCGCCACCCAACTGTGCAGATATATACGTGTATATATATATATATGTATTTCTAGGTACCAGCAGCGTCCTTATAAAACAATAAAATGTGTGCAGATCAAAGAGCAATAGAGCCAAGATGCAACAAAGTGACTTTGTGAAAGTGAATAACGTGAATTAAGTGCTAGTTGCGATAAAAAACTCCGGTGAATACTCTGAATTGCAAAGCTAATTAACATGCAGATTGCAGAAGTGAGGTTATGTGTTCACAAACCAATGACAAGTGAATCGTGAAAAGAGGTTAGTGCAAGAAATTGACTACTTCTGTGAAACTAACATAAAAAGTGAATTTAATCTAATGACGATAGCAAGAAAGTCGGAAATCAAAAAAAACTGATGTTGCAACTAAATTTAAAATGCATATAACACTTTTCACTGTCGTGTGTGTGTGTGTACACTTTAAACCAACACTAGCTGTTGGCACTCGAATGTGGAGAATCACTTGAATATGATAACCCGAAGTTGATGCTTTCACAAAGTCACTGCTATATGGCTATCTTTGCACTCGCGTAATTTTATATTTGAGCTTTGACGCAAATTAAACGATATTTTTTATTTTTTTATACAAATATGTCTATATTGATAAAGTGCACTGAATATTACCACGTACCTTGCGACTGGTTGGTTTCAATAATGAGTTGTGGCGGTATATGAGTAGTTGAAGGCTGGAAAAGTGTTGGTTGGTGACGAAATACTTTAAATTTGTGGCGCAGACGTGGTGTCCTGGTATAATTCTTTGTTATGGCAAACTCGCTTTGAAAAGACGGTGGACTGTATTTCTCTTATTTCGCTGGTATTCCAATTAACGCACGGTCCCAAAAATGGCGCTTGCAATGTTTAATGGTTAGTTAGGTCGGACGGCTCCGAATGGACCATAGGTCGCTGGTTCATATCCGGCTCGAAGGACCAAATGATTACACGGGGGGTGCAAGTATGATAAAAATAAATAAAGAGAACCAAGATATTTGGATGTTAATGGTGAATTCAATAGAGTCGATTTATTTCAGTATAGATATATACATATATAAATGTCGAATAATACAATATTTGAATACCTTTGGACGGGAGTGGCTTGGTAGCTGGTCTGCTCGGGTTGATCTTCTGAACGTGAAAGAAGTGAAGTGAAAGAAAAACTTTACGGGACCTTTAATCGGACCGCCGCACAATAACTGAGTTAAGGGGAAACTTGACGAGAGTTCATTATCCGGCGGGATATTAAAATTAACCGTGCATACTACCCCATGTGCGCACGCATGTATGCACATAAACATACACATAAACATATAATATATATTATATGTTTACACAGACACTTATGCACGTACATATGCTGGCATTAGGGGGGTGCGTAAATAGTAATATTTAGGCTGAAGGCCTAAACACACTCAGCGAAGCGGGTGAGAGCGATCTAGTATATGTATAAGTATACACACAAACAAACCAAAAACCTTTTTGTATAAAAGGGGGAAATATACAACACCAGCTTGCCGGCTCCATCAAGTGATTGTACCATCAGGCTCGAAGCATATAACTTACCAGCATGCTGGTACAGTATTTACTTCTTTACAAATAAGGTCGAGGAAAGATTGAAATGATTAGAGCCGAAATTTCATAATTTTTCTACCATTTAAACATTGTTTTTTTTTTTTAAATCCACAACTGCAATATCCTGAGCTTAATCTTCTACAAACAAGGCTTTGACTCATATAGTGCAAGAAATTTCCGCCAAAATACTTCTTACTTGGAAAATTGAACTAATTTCACCACTCACGGCACCAGCAGCTGGTACAATCACACCACAAGAAGATACACAGTCAATCGACTTGATGGGCCATTTAACAAATTAAGCATATTAAGGGCCGTAAACTTATCTATTTTAAACTATAGTTAAATCGTTAATATATAAGTTAGCAGCCTTAACACTTTTACAGTATGTATGTATAAAAAGGTAAGGAAGATACAATACATATATGTATATATATCAGTCTTTCTTAGTTTAAAATTTAATCTCTTATATAAATGAAAAATAAAATGACATCAAATTAAGCATATACATCTTTCTCATACCAAGTATAAGTAATTCTCCAAAGGGCTAAAAAAAGGGCTGGGTGCCCCCCAAAAAAAGTATGTGGTAGCTAAATCTGGCCACCAAAGGTCTAAAACGCAACACTGGTGTGCATTCATGAAGAATGCTTGCTATATGAGTGAATTAGTGTGAACAATCCATTCGTAGTTATGAATTTCCAAAAATTAATTCTAATTCTAGCGAACTGCGAGCGAACGTACGTTGTTGTTGTTTTAAGTACAATTCTTGATAAATTTGAAGTGGAATTTTTGTAATATCTTCAGTCCAGTGTTGTTCCGATAACACCATGTACTCGATACCTGTACTCATTTAAAATATCGAAGAAAAGTATCGATGCCATTAAAGTATCGGAGATAAGTACTCGATACTTACTCGTATCGGACTCACTCCGTAAAACTAATATAAAACCAAGGCTATGAACATACAGTTCCGAACAGAAGTATTGGCACAGAGAATTTTTCGTAATATATGCAAAGTTTTTTATTCTAATTTATTTTCGATATTTTTTTATAAAAAATATTTTCATTCTACACCAGAAAACATAATAATAAAATCTCTAAACTTTGTGCAAAACTCAGGAAAATTCATTAAGTTTGCAACTTTTTATTCAGATTTTTTAGAAAAATTCTAAATATGCAGTTTTATAGCCCATTTAAATTTAGTATAACAAAGTGCAAGTTTGAAGTCGCTACACATACATTTTTGGTGTAAAATGAACTATATTTTTATAAAAAATTATCGAAAATAAATTAGAATAAAAAACTTTGCATATATTGCGAAAAATTCACTGTGCCAATACTTTTGTTCGTCTGTGTACATATGTATAAAACTTTGGCAAATTAATAAATAAATTCAGAGCGCCTGTGCAAATTTGTAAATATTTCTTTATTTATTACAAAAAGTTTGAGTAAAGAAATTAAAGCATTGTGAATATAATTATTCAATGCAGTTTTAAAATAATATAAGATATCATGTTTGCAATAAAATATAAAATAATTATGAAAATGAATTTAATTGGAAAATCCAGACTCGGGAATTCCATTAAAAAAAGCAGCTTGTCAATGTAATTTGAAGAAAGACGGTTTCGCTTCTTCGAAACAATGGCCCCGGCCTTAGAAAATAGACACTCACTTGGCACAGACGTTGCCACCACGCAGAGAAACCTTGTCGCGGTTGTTATCTTCCCATTCTTCTAATGGGTTGGTTTTTAAGGCCGAAATTGGTGCCGCTATATATCTCGAATACTCATCAAGATCTTTTTTTGTATTTTTTTGCCCAAGCACGAGCCCTCGATGGTGCTCCCAAAAATCATAGGTAACTGCAATATCTTCATCTGACTCACTGCTGCTCAAAGCATTGAGAGCTTCAGCCTTAACAAGCTCCTTAATTTTTTGAACTGCTTTTGAATAGGCAACTGGGTCTTTGAAGTGAATACGTTTGAACCTAGGGTCCAAAACTGTAGCTATGGCAATGATGCTATGAAACTCCACTTGATCAATCGTTTTTCCAGCTCGGATAACAACAGCGACTTTGCAGTAGAGAGAGTGGGCGTCTCGCATGCAACTTTACGGACTTGAGATATCAGGCAGTTAGTGATAGGAATTATTTTGGAAATTGAAATATATTTTTCAGCGGAGCTTTCTCTAGTGGCACACTCAAAAGGCTTTAGAAGTAAGATTAGTCGCTTTATGCAGTCGATTTCGCTACCTGTCAACATGTTAGGACTGTCAGGAGAAAATACCAACATTTGTGAGCAAATTGGAACCAAATCTATAAACCTTTGTAGCATAAAGTATGTCGAGTTCCACCTCGTCTTCACATCTACAATAATTTTTTTTGTTGCGCCCTCAGCCGACCCTGCTTCTATCTGAGATTTTCTGAAACAATCGGAATCCTTTACGCTATTCTTTATCCACAAGACAATGGCTCGCACTTTATTTACTGCATCTTTTACACCGTCAAGTCTTAGCCCCGCTTCCCCACCAAATTCAGCGTATGTGCGAAACATGGTAAATGCTTATTTTTTCCCGCAACTAAAATTGCAGCATTCACCATGTTTTGTCCATTGTCGGTGACAATGACTCGAATTTTATCTACTTGAATATTCCACTCATACAAAATTTGTTTCAGTGTACCAGCTATATTTTCGCCGGTATGTCTTACTCGCAGCTCCCGAGTAGCGAGGTTAACCGCCTTTGTTTGAACTCCATCGATGAAGTGCATAGTTACACCCAATTAACCCTAACTTTATACAAAGGCGCAATTGTTTTCATTAGCTTGAGAAAGCCTTCACCTGAAATAAAATGTATAAATAAAAAGTTTTGTTATACCCGCGTTTTATATAAGAAAGAGCTCATTCTTTAACAAAAACCATACTATATTCTTCAGGATTCTAATTTTTTCATTCATGTACCTAGTACTTTGCTGAGTGAAACCATTTTTCATTTGAATGATTGTGGTTTAAAAAATGCAAACTCCACTACCGAACACTAGGAAATATTTGATGAATTCAAAGAAAAATGATTTCACAACTATACAGTTCTGTAAACCTCATTCATGATCCAT